GAGCAGCCTCAGGCAGAGTGAGGGCCCATGATTTGCCTGAGGCTGTGACGTGGGAGAGACAGCATTCAGCACCAGCTCTTAAGGTCTCATTTACAACTGGAAAACACTGTGGAGTGCCCGTCCTAAAATCCTGCAATAGTATACACTTGTGAGGCAGTGGATATGGACTTTTGTTCTGTCTTAACATGAAAGTAAAAAGCATACATGACGCTACAACCCGCAGTAAAGTGCTAGGGATACAGAGGGCACAGGGAGGTGAGAGGGCTCCTGCATCCAGGGAGACAACACACCATGGAAGGCCTTAGAAGTGAGATCTGAGTGAAGTGCTCGTGGAGCCCGCCAGTGAGAAGATATTTACCTCCACAGAACTGGGAAAGTCGTGAAAATAAACTCACTGAAGTTAGGTGAGTGACGAACTGCCTATACTGTCACCCACCATTATTCAATGATGGCCACATCTTTTTAACATTTGCTGGTCAAAGCAGCAAAGGTCCCAGCGGGCAGCCAGAGACCCCAGGGCTCCTCAGGTCTTGTGTATGGTCTACAAAGGCCCAAGACGCTGACGTTCACGAGAGATCCAGCCTCCCTGTCCTCGCTGGGCTCAGCCCAGCCTTCCTAGAGCTTTCTACTCCCGTTCTCCCCACCTGGCTCCTACTTTCCCTGCTGCCCCTCCTTTTCTGAGGTCATCAGCCCTCCAGCCCTCCCTCTCTCTGCCTCCCCACCCGGCTCCTACCTTCCCTGCCACCTCCAGCCCTCCCTCTCTCTGCCTGCAGTCTGTGCTGGACTGTGGCGAATGCCTCATGGAGCTGCTCATTCTCCCGCCGACCATTCATAGGCATCTCCCCAGACCCTCCCGCTCGGCTCCAGGGCCTATCCTGTGGGTTGTGGGAAGTGCAGAAAAAGCGCATCAAGCATGGCTGTGTGCTCCCAGGAGACTATGTGCTGTGCTGACCATAGCCGGAACCCCACATGAAGGATGAAGGTCAGGTGCTCAGGGGCACGGTGGGGGCCCTGCCCGATTCCCATAGAGCAATACGTGAGAGCCCAGAACAGATGCTGGTTCCCTGGCTAGGCATCCAGTTCTATCTGCAAACTCCAAAAACTAGATTTTATCTACAACTTAATTGGTTCCTTTTTGGTAACAAGATGTTTTCTTGCATTTGTCCTAGACAGACAGATATTATTCCAATGGCTACAGCGATGTATTACGAAGCATTTGTGTGGTTTATAACTCTTAGGAAGGCTACAGCCTCTTACATTACTAGAATTTCTGTGGGCCAAACTTTAAATAAACGCTACATATGTTGCCACATCACTTGTTCCAAGTGACCCGGTTCAAAGGTGACAAAAATGGGATGTTTCTCTCCTGCGTCAAGATAATTGTCAAGTATCTTGCTAATGACGACATAAGCTGAGTGGCAGGGGACCCCGCAAAGGCCTGCTAGGAGCTTTACTGACCACTCCAGCTAACGGAGTGAGGTTTAATTGGTGATCCCAGACCAGCGGGGAGAACACTGGCATGACAAAGAATGAGACTGAAAAAGCATAAGGAAAACACCAGCGGCATTTAGGGCCTTCTGAGCCCTGCCTTGATTTGAAAGGCAGTGAAGCTGGAGGTCTAGGGCCCCCGTAGGCCGCTCCTGTTGCCTTTCCGGACTTACTTCCTGCCCTATCTGGAAGCGTATGAACACCAGTGCCACCAGAGCCCTCCAAATATCAGACATAGAGTCAGGCGTCACAGCTGAGTTTCAGAAGGGAGGGTTCCTTTAACAAAGCTGAAAATGTGACGATAAAAAGGAACCCTTTTCGTAGTTAATTCAAGCCATTGTTTTCGCAATTCACACCCAGGTAGCCTTCAGATTGCTCTGAAATGCCCTATGAAGCAGCATTTTTGCAAGATGGGAATCTCTCCGAAGGCCGCACAATAATCCAGGACCTTGCCACCAGCAGCATGGGTGTCACCTGGGAAATGCTGACTTCCAGGCCCCCTGGAGCTCCTGAATCCGGACCAGCATTTCAACAGGTGACTCGTGCGGACATTGGCGGCTAAGAAGCACCCCTCTCTAGTGAGGAACAGCCTTGGTCTGAGAAATATCCACGGACCCAGCTTCTGCTCAACCAGTGACAAGTGGTCTTGGGTAAGTCATTTTTCTGGGCTTTAATTTTTCCATCTCTAATGGGAATCATTCGTCTCTACCTATTTAACAGTGGAGAAGTGAAGACAGCAACATTGCATTCAAATACGTCAAATGCGTAAATCAGTTCCAAAATGTTACAAAAAGTATATGCACAAGTTGAAAGGACAAATATTCTCCAATACTGATAATGGTGGCATTTTAATTTTCCTGCTGCTGGAGAATGAGCATTCTCTACAGCTAGCTTGACACCAGGGCTCCTTCAACTGGCCCTCATTCCACAAGTAATTCCCCAAGTTACTTTGAGTAAAAACCCTCAAGGAGACAATTCAATTTCCAAATGTAAATTCCAACAACATATACGGGGAACACTATCACTACCAGTCCCCTGGTGAGAAATGAGGTTTCTACAAAATGTGATTGCCTTTGACATTGTTGCCGTTCCTGTGAAGTGGTTTTTCAATGTTAAAAGAAGCTGTTTCTTTTGGGAAGGGATTTGTTCATGTAAAGTTGAAAGTTTACGCTTGTTATGCATGAGTTCGAGGGAAGGAAGGCAGAAATGATGTGGAAAGATGTGGATGTTCAATGTCATGTGGTTTTGAAGGGCTTGTTTCTGACCCTTAATTATGATCTGTCATGTATACAGAATATAGGGTTCTTGCCACAGGTGAGCATGAAACGTGGACACACTTTGTCTTCCTCACACATATCCCCTTCACCTTAAAATACCTCCTGCCATCAATGAATGAATTCACCCCCCAAAGAGCTGAGTCTGCAGGATCCAGAATTTGATTTTGGGTGGAACAGCAAATTCACATTCTAGATACTTTGCTATGAAGGCAAAGATTACGACTGTCAAACATTATCAGCTTTCTATAGGCAAAAACACGTAGGTGAAATCCTTCTAGAAAATGAACGTTCTACACATGATTTTCTCTATTTGATTTTCTTTATTTGATTTATAAGAACACATTGATAGACCTTCCTTGTATCATTAAAACTAAATTGCAGGTATCCAGCCATTAATTCCATTGAGGCTGGTTTGTTTGTTTTTAACTTTCAAAAGATTGTGATATTTAGATGACACAGAATCAAATGATCTGGAATCCTAATTGTGCTGGATTAGAGTTGAACACACTTTCATGGTCAGAACCATGATATTTCTACTGGGTTTATCAACTCCTCCACAAAAACTGTGTAACAAAGGCCAATTGTTCTGCAAATGCCTTGTCAGCCGTATCCCCAAGGACCCAGGCAGATGGTAAAGGGGGCTGCAGGGAAGTGGTCTGGCGGACAGGCGGGAATCGGCCAGTGTTCCAGCTTCACTTCTGCGTCCAACAGGCTCTGTGACCTTGGACAGGACACTTTTTCTCCCTGGGTCCCAGTGTCTTCATTCATAAAATGGGTAGAACTAGGTCATTCTTCAAATCCCAAATTTAACAGTTTAAAAGGCAACTGGGGCCAGGTGCAGTGGCTCATGCCTGTAATCCCAGAACTTTGGATGACCGAGGCAGGAAACTCACTTGAACCCAAGAATTTGAGACCAGTCTAGGCGACAAGGGAGACCTTGTCTCTATGAAAAGTAATTAGCCAGGCATAGTAGTGCACACCTGTGATCTTAACTACTCAGGAGGCTGAGGTGGGAGGATCGCTTGGGCCCAGGAGGTCAGGCCTGCCGTGAACTAAGATCATGCTACAGTACTTCAGCCTGGGCGACAGAGCGAGATCCTTTCTTAAAAAACAAACAAAAAGATGGAAATTGAGTCTTCTCATTTACAAGGGCCAGAGATGGGTGCAGGCTGCTTTCAGCTCTAAGTTAACAGCCACCCTGGGAGCAAGCATGGACCTCCAGGGCTTCCGCATCTAGGGAATCCCTTCTAAGAACACCATTCCTTACCCACACTTCAGCATCTCCCACCCACCAAAGAAACCACCCATTCGATCATCTTAAGACCCCGTTCAGCTCTTCAGGTGCCAAGGATAAAGCACAACAATTTTATAAGGATTTTTCTGAGCTCTAAGCATAAATCCGTCTTTCGTATTGGATGATACCACCTGTGTGCAGGATGTTTTAATTATTATTTTGATTTAATTTAATGTCATTTCAAAGATACCATCAGATAGTGCTCCTCAAGGGAAACTGTGGCTTGGGCTGGGAGGCACGTATTCAAATTTCTGTAGCTAGGCCAGGTGCGGTGGCTCATGCCTGTAATCCCAGCACTTTGGGAGGTGAGGTGGGAGGATTGCTTGAGCCCTGGAGTTTGAGACCACCCTGGGCAACACAGTAAGACACCTCTACTAAATACAAAAAAATTAGCCAGGCATGCTGGTGCACACCTGAAGTCCTAGCTACTCAGCAGGCTGAGGTGGGAGGATTGCTTGAGCCTGGGAGGCTGAGTTTACAATGAGCCATGATTGCACCACTGCACTCCGGCCTGGGTGACAGAGCCAAAATCTTGTCTCAAACAAAAAAAAAAAAGTCTGTACTTTGGCCCAGCCCTTGGCAGGATACATGAAGACATATTGGTTCCCCAAACTGTGCTCCCCACCATACTTACCCTATGGCTTGAGGGTGTCCGGCATGCCTCCAGAGGACGTTCCTGCCTCCTGGGATGTGGTGAGCTTGCACACACCAATGGGCAGGTCTGTAACAGGTAAGAACAGACTCGAGGACAGTGTGGACCATGGGGCCCCTTTAGTCTTGCCGCTGTGTCACACTAGCTACTCAGCTAGGGAAACAATTAAACAGGATTCCAGCAGACACAATTGAAATATGCCCTTGACTTCCTGTGTATATCAACTACTACCAAGTATCATTTGAACTGATACATATTATTAAAATATAATTTGTGTGTTTTGTGTAACTTTTTTTTTTTTTTTTTTTTGCCAATGTTCCAAAGTTTGTTCATGGTAACAGCAGTAAGGGTCTCATGGCAAACGTTCTTCCTTTTATGAGAGGGATAGTATGATGCTATAAGCCTAGGAAAAATAAAATTCAAAGTTTAAAATGAAAAAAAAAATAGAGTAAGACCTACTATTTGATAGTAAAACAGGGTGACTATAACAGTAATAACTGTACATTTTTAAACAGCTGAGTGTAACTGGATTGTTTGCAACTCAATGGAGGAATGCTTGAGGAGGCAGACACCATATTCTCCATGGTGTGCGTATTTATTTCACATTGCACGCCTGTTTTAAAACATCTCACGTACCCCATAAATATATACACTATGTACCCACAAAAATTAAAAATAGAAAAAAAATGAAAATAAAGTTTAAAGTGACCACACCAACTGTATTGGTAATCCAGTTTTGCATTCTGACTTCTGAAATACGATCATAAACATTTAATTTTGGGCCATAACTGGGAAATTAGTTACTGAACAACTAACTTTCCACAAAATAGCCCACAAAGTTTACACAGATCATTCTTGTATTTAATAATAAAATCTTTAACAAGAGAGTAGAAAGTATGGAGAAGAAAATTATGAATTCATCAAATCAGGCCATTCTGCATCCAGACTGCATTCAGAAAACTTGTTTAACACCTAGGAGATTATTGTCCAAAGTTGCTAGTATTTGGTCTTTTTTTTCATTGTTTTTGTTCTGAAAGCTGTGCATTACTCATCTATTTTTATATGAATCTGAAATACAGTATTTATCCCATGTGTCCATATGGTAAAGTAATCAAGAAAAATATCTTCAGTGCTTAGCACCCCCACCCCAATTTAAAGGAAACCCTGACTGCAGTAAATTCATGTTAATTGAGAGCTCGGGGAAGGGGTTAAAACATTACCCAGGTACAAGTCGGGTGGCCATTATAAATGTTACCCAAATAAAAGCCAGAAACAGGAAGCCAAAAAACAGGTCCCTAAGGCAGGCATGTGTCTTAAATGATATCATTTGTCAGGTTTCCAGCATCTTGTGGTGGCGAACACAGAAAGAAGGTCTGGGTTGTACTGAGGACATTACATCCTCATTAGCTGGAATGTTCCTCAAGTACATAATGCAGGATTTTCATTTTAATAAGAAGCAGCTACTTGTCACTGCACTTTCATTAGATAAACACAGAATGTAATACTAATGACCATTTACAGAGGCTCTATTCTACTCCTGAGAAACTTCATCCAGATGAAATCATATAATGACAATTTATAGAACACATCATGCAAAACTTCCTTCATTTCTTTGCAAACTATTCCCTGAAAAATTTTTTTTGATGGTGAAGTCAGTGAACAGCACTAGTCATCATCAAAGGGACCTCAGGTGACACTGTTGGTATTTTCTGCCTGCAAAACAGGTTTGAAGGAAGAGCATTTGGCTCTTTAGAAGTCATAACCAAATGGTAACAGATCACTGGGCCTCCTTGGTTTCTCAAGAGGCAAGCTCCTTCCACCCTGCCCGGCTGGTGACCTTAAGCCCGACATGCAGAGAAGTCCACACTGAGAAATAATTTATCCACTGGGATTGTTCCACCCTGGCCCCTTCTCTAAAACAAAGACTGACAATTGCCCTGAATTATGGATGTACTTTTTGTGATATGTATTACAGTTCAGAAGAAAGGTGTTGAGACAATCGTACCATTTCACCTCCCATTAGACGCTGGTCTTGAACAATAATCCCAGAAGATGAAACTGATGCTGAACTATGACCCTCAATTTACAAATCATTTTTCAAAAGAATAAGAAAAAAGTTTAAACATATTTTTGGCATTATCTGAATGGGCGGAATCTTTCATGCTTGTTTTCTAAGAATAAGTGAAAACAGCATGCGGTGCACTTACTTAGTTTGGGGAAAGAGGGAACATGAGGTTTTCAGATTATATTTTATTTTAATCCTGGGTGTCTGAATTTTATTTTTACATAGCTGAATTTAGTGTATTTCCTTAAAACATAATAAATTTCTATTCTGTAGCTTAAGGGATCCATCAGTTAAAATGTTGGTCTTTCATCTTTATTACCCTCCCATTAAAATGAAAGAAACCGGGACTCACTTCAGTTTTGAAGAAGCAATTTAGTTGGTAATGTCCTTACTCCCCAAGTCTTTACAAAGGGAGAAAGTACATTATTGCTTAGATTTCACACATCTATCTGCATAAGAAGCAACTAAGCCTTTCGGACATATACTACGTGAAATTTAATAATATTCTTTGATTAGATTATTTTATTACAGCATTTTTCCATTACCAGTCATTTCCTGCACAGAGTTACATTCATAAACCTGCTCCCCGCCCCTCCTTTGTTTGTTTGCAAATGTAAAAGCCAGGCAAAGTCTCTTCCCGTGTTGCTGTGGCTGTTAGGTCTGAAAGGGACAGATGAATAACTAAGCACCACCCTGGACAGGCTTTCCGAGTCCCCTGCACCAGTAACCCTTTGCTATAATGAGGATACAAAGAGCCTCGCATCAGGCTGCTACCCTTCTTCATAACTCAAAAGCGTCACAGTGGCAATAGCCTCTAGTGCTATTTGTCTTTAGTGCAGTTGTGACACTTCGGCATGATCCATAATTTGGCAGCTATTTACCGTGACATTTCCCTTCAGTGCAGCCATAACATTCAGTGAAGCCATTATTTGGTTCCATTTACCATATAAATTGTATTGTTGTGCATGCATGCTAGCAGCTACATTAGGTACCTGAAAATGAGTAAATCTTGTAAAATAGATACTAACAGCTATTCAGCAGTAGGATTTCCTGGCTCCTCAGATGGAAGGAAAGAAAAATACAGTCCCCAACTTTCCTGGAGCGTCTTTAATTGCATCCATATTTATTGAGCAGGTTAGATACACCGAAACCTAAGACTTTGAAAAATAATCTGGTGGGCTTCACCTTCAATTAGAAGGGCACCGTGGGATGTCAGTGCGACAGTGACAGCAGCAGCAGTCTTCAGGGCACTGAAGGTTAAGAGGGAAGTAGGTGAGCCACAGGCATGATTCAGAAGAGAGGGCGCAGGTTTTGCTGCTTTTCCTGTGTGGTCAGTGGGTAAGTGTGGGACATCAGGCTACCATGCCAAGGAGCATCTCATTCCACCAGAACGTGTGGACAGGGAAATGGGAATGCAGAATGAGTGGCTGCTATTCTGTTTCCAGAATCAGAAGTAACACCTAGCTTTTAGTTTGAAAGCCTCCAAGGAGAAGCAAATGTATTCTGATAACTGAGGTGCCTACTGTGCGCAGGGCGATGAGACACACCCTGCCTCGGGCAGTGGAGCACACGGTCACCAAGGCCTTTCAGTGTGGTGTGCCTCCACAGCACCTCCTCCCAGGACGGCGTTTTGTGGCAAACGCTCACTGTGAATGGAATGCATGCTTTTCTCTTTCCTGTGCCTATATTAATTTTAAGTCCCCCTAATGCCTGTGGTTTCCCTTTCCAAAACCTACTTTCTGTCTATGTAAGTTTTCAATATTAATTTGCTGCTTCAGAGGAAAGAGAACATTTCCAGTTCACATGTGCCTTCCCAGGCTGATGGAAGATAAAAGCCATTATGTGATACTTCTTCAAAACACATCTGTGTTCATGGAATCATTTTTCTAAATAGCAAAATCAAATTTGGAAGGGAATTCCCCCAAATTTCCATTTAGATAGTTGGTCAGTGATTTATAGAAAAAAAAAAAAAAAAAAAAAAAAAAGGACCATTTCCTGAGGATACAGATTCTGAAAATATATGGCTGGCTTCTGCTGCACTTCTCACCCATGAACTGCTTATTAGCATAAGACCAAATTCTCCCAAAGCAAAGAAGAATTCAGGAACCACTTTCAAAGCTGATTTTAAAATCTCATCAAGCTGAAGAAGACATACTGACTCGATCAGATCTGGCATCAGGAATTAATTTAGTTCCCTGGCATAGTAAAATCTGGAATGAGATCATCCATGACTAAAGAACTGAATGTAAACGTTTTGCCTCTTAGCCATGGAGGGAAGTTTTATTAGCACATTTCTTTTCCCAAGGGAGGAGGAGGAGGAGGAGGAAGACGAGAAGGAGAGACCTATTCATTAACACCTTACTTTTGTTTTAAGAAATATTATATCCATTACCAACTAAAAATAAATTGATTTGAGTAATTCTGAGACGTAAGTACCCATTTTCTTTCCCCCTTGATTTATGTCATTGTTCTGTTTTTACAGCTTACTGTTGACAGAGTGAGGTAATTCAACTACAATTTTTCCAGTGTTTTTTCCCATGTACATGTAATTGACAGCACGGAATATGGACTCCAGGCCAGTAAACCTGCCCTCTGGAGAGAGATCTCCAAGGTCTACCTCACAAACCAGGTCTCCACTCACACACATCTTGAGCAAGTGGCCCATGGCTGCTTGATACTTAGAAAGGTAATGGTTCAGGAAGAAGCCCTGGATGCTGGCAGATTTCTTGAGCAGTTTGCCTGGCAATGTTCCTGCTTTCAAAATAGGCGAAAGGCCAGTAGGAGTTTGGTAGCCAGAGATAAACCCTATGACTATCAAGCGCCCTTTGGTCGCCAGGGCATCTACTGCCAAGTCAAACATGGCTCCCCCAACAGATTCATAGACCACATCGATGCCTTCAGGGTACTCCTGCTTAAGGACAGTACCTACGGGTTCAGTTTTATAGTTGATGGGACGATCACAGCCAAGAGATTTCAGAAAAGCAGACTTTTCATCAGAAGAGCACGTTCCAATCACATGGCACTTTGCCTTCTTTGAAAGCTGCACGGCAAACTGGCCCGTTCCCCCAGCTGCTGCTGTCACCAAAACTTTTTTCCCTTCCGACAGTTCTGCGAGCTCTTTCAGGCTGATGTATGCGGTGGTGCCACTTACCAGCAGGGTAAGATACTCGGGTTTCACTGAGGGCACCGGAGTTGCAATGTTGGCAGGCACAAGTGTGTACTCAGCAAAAGAACCAGGTGCCATGTAAGCCACAGCTTGGCCAACTGTGTATCTGGCACTAGCAGAGAGGCCTAGGGCCACCACCTCCCCGATGCCTTCGAAACCTATGTCAAAGGGAGGCTTAACTGAGGGGTCATAGCGGCCTGCTGAATAGTTGATGTCAGATGCGTTAACACCAACAAATCTAAAAGAAAACAAACAAACAAATATATTATGATGGGTTTTCTGTTAAGCCTTTCGAATCTGCTTAGAGAAATTCCTCTATTCTGGTGACTGTGGAGGGGTTGCTAAGCTATACAATCTGATAGAATTTGAGAAAGTCAGTCCTCCTGCTCAGATAAAAAAAGAAATTAAACAAGTATTAGTTAAATGTGCTTTGTACTGAGTTTCGGCATATTTTATCCTTTCATCAGTTTAGAAATTATTTCATATCATTTTAAATGGCAAGTTGTTTGTTTCACACGCCATTTATTTCTGTCCTCTTTCTTTCAAAAGCAAAAGGAGAAATAAGCAAAAAGAGAAAAAAAAAAAAAAGAAAAGAAAAAGAATCAGGAAGCCCTCATTATATATAAACTTCACTGGAGCTGTGAGATGGAAATTAATTGGCCTCTTAACAAAGATGTTAAAAACAACACTGGGATAAAATATATTCAAAGAAGTGGACTTGTATTGATTCTGGCAACAATTTAACACTTAAGATAATAATAGTAATGACAATGATATTATTAAAGATTGATGGAATGTGCAAGGTCACTGGTTGCTACATGTTCCTGCAGGAGTTGCTCCAAGCACTGTTAGAGTGGCTGTCGCCAGTTTTCTTCTGATGTAACTACATCCAGTGTGAAAACATGCATTTTGATTAATTGAACAAAAATTGGGAAGAGCCGTTTTTATGAAGCATTCAACAGTTCACAGTCCTTTTCAGATGAAAAGCAAAGCAAATCGTCACGATATTTTTCCTCAACAAGAAGCAGAGACTTAACTTGATTAATACCAGATGATTATTTTCATTTTGGTATCCGGGGTCAATTTAATTGGGAGGCCGCTATTTTTCCCAGCTTTTCTCATCTCAGTATACCTGATAACAAAAATATCCTGATACACAGGAAGAAAAAAGCCATCTACTAAGAATGTCAGGGGGTGGCTTAGGAGGACATGGAAGACCCTAATAATGTCATTTCCATCTGTAACAGTATGAAAAGGTGGTAGGGACTGGTGGCAGGAGGATCTGTTAGGTAGGTCATTTTAAAGAAATTCACCTTTAATTTAACTTAATCAAAACTGCCCTGTATGCGATGCACTTTCACTGTGATATAGATAACACTCTGCATTTATAAATGCTCACTCACCATCATCTCTCCTGTGCCTACAGGACAGAAAAGTCTCTGCATAGTGGAGAAATAAGAACGCGGGAGCAACTGATTTCTGTTATGTCAAGCTGCCTTCAGACCCAGCGCACCACACAGCCTCAGTCACACCCTACACAATTCCATACCCATGGAAGCTATACAATCATGAGAGGGGGCAAAGATGAGTTTTGTTGGTTTCTCATTTAATATCAAGATGCCTAGGTTCTATTTTTTTTCCCTACATTCTATTTTTAGAGAAGGGAAAGAACCTGCCATCTTTCCTTTAAATTTACGTAATTCTCAAGGCCTGGCATTGTAAAAAGGGCCCACTTCCCGGGAGCTTCTTCTGGACTTCACAGCAGCAGCCCAGGGCAGAGCCAGCTGGAGCCCGTCTCGGTGCCTCTGCCTTAGGCTGTGAAGCAAACTCCAGGAAAGGTGCCCGTTGGGGTGGAAGTGACGGAGGGTTTGCTCTGGAGGTGGGGGTCAGGAGCCGAAACATTGCCAGTTGTGTTCTGTGGGATCCTGGCCCACGATTAACCCTTCCCACGCCCTTCATCCCTCCAGGCCTGTCCCCCGGCGTCTCCGAAGTCCCAAAGGCAGCGGCCGCTCCTCTGCAGGGACACTCCGCATTGGGCTCGGAGGGCCGCCCGGGCCGTCAACCCCTCAGAGTTGGCAGCCCTGGGAGTCCTCCCCACCTTGGAAGGGACGCGCGCCGGGGGCTCTGTAGGAGGAAAACGCAGCTCCCCTTCTCCCCGCCCCAGGCTGTGGTTTGCCACTTCTCGGGAAGAGGTGGAGAGACGAAGCCGGACACACACCGGAGCAGCCTGGGGAGCGCGCACTGGCCCTGGACCCGGTTAGCAGAGGTCAAGTTTGGGAGGGGGGAGTGGGGCTGTGCTGGGAGCCGGGATGGCTGCAGCCAGCCCACGGCTGCTTGAGTTTGCCAGGGGGCTTTGCTAGAAAAGCCACACCAGACATCGCGGTGATTCGCACGGGCAGGCGCTGGAGCGGTGGCAGCAGCCGAGCAGGGCCCGCGTGCCCGTCCAGGCTCTGTCCAGCTCGCCCTCGCCCTCGCCCTCGGAAGTGCCGCCGCCGCCAGCTCCAACAGCGCAGTCCTGCGGCCTCCCCGCTGCCACCACGGAGAGGGGGATCAAGAACCCCAACTCCCGGCGGGCTGGCAGCGCGCAGGCCGGGCCCGAGGTGGAGCTGAGTCTACTCGGGCCTGCGACCGTGACCCCGGCCTCTCTGGGCCGGGCTGGGGCCCCGGCAGGCGCGCACAGTCCGCGCCCTTAGTCTCAGCGCCGGCCGCGCAGCTCCGCCGGGGTGGACAAGTTCTGAGTTCGGCGCACGCAGCGCGCTGGAGCGCAGCGGCCGCTAGACAGGGCCCGCCGGCGGCCTGACCATGACCTTGGCCTCGCAAGCACCCCCATCTCTCACCCCCACTCTGCCTCCCTGCCGTCTCCTAAATCGCCTGCGTCGTCGGTGAAGGAGGCTTGGGCGGGCCGACGGCAAGAGCCCGCGGTGGCTGGTGGCTTGGCTGGCTCCTCGCACTGCGCCCTCTCCCTGGTCTCCCCGCCCCCGGTTCGCGGACCCTCACCTCCAGCAGGATCCCCGCTTGGACATGGCTTCGCCCCCGCGGCTGGCAGGGACCCTCCACAGCCCGGAACCCGTCTGAGTCCTTACCTCTGCGCGAGGGTCCGCAGCTCGCGCCTTCAGCTCCACCAGAAACAAGTTCAAGCGCAGCAGGCGCAAAGGGAACCGGGCCGGGAAGGGGAGCAGGGACAGAAGGGCCAGGGAGCCGCAGAAAGGCAAGAGGGACACTCTGGGAAGGATGCGCGCATTTCGAGACCCTCCCTGTGCCCCCCTTTAATTGAAAATATGTGCGTGTAATGAGCGCAGGATTCTAGCAATCCGACGGGAGGATCCACTTAAAAGACTAAAATCCAGGAACCCCAGGAAAAAAGAATAGGACCGGCGCAGGCATTCTCCAAATCTATATCCTAGAGTCACTCAGCTTATTTGTACTAAAAAGTGCTAAACCCCCTCTTCATGTTTACCGAGAAACAGAGCGATCCCGCGGAGGGGAGGGGAACACTTTCCTCTGAACAAAAACCAAAGGCGAGGATTCAAGTCCAGAGTAAAAGCCTTCAATACTGGGAGACAAAACAAACTCGTCCAAATCAGACCTGCCTTAAAAACAAAATAAAAGAAAGAAGGAAGGAAGGAAGGAAAAGAAGGCAAGAAAGACAGGAAAAAAAGAAAGGAAAAACATCTCGGCCTGGAGAGTCAGCAGAAAATACCGTTCCCCTCCCGTAAGCAACAAACCGTTTATCAAAAACGCCTCCCCCATCCCCCACCTTCTCTTAGCCATTCCTACAAACTCTTTGCTCCATTATCTTACACTTGAGCAGAAAATCGTTAGAAATATTTGGAAACGAAATAATCTGTCACCTTCTTAGGAAAAAAGCTAAAAATAGTACATAAACTGACTTAACCTGGGGGTCTTTCTTTTTCTTTTCTAAGGACTGAGAGTAGAGGGGGAGATGTGAAGTTGTTCTCCGAAACAGAAAACAGTAAGGTAAGAACTGGATAAAGGGCCATCAATTACACATTCTATAGGGATTTTACACGCTCCTTCTTAGATCTTTCCTAAATAGTAAAGTTTATTATTCTAAATCAATGTCTAGCTTACAAGCACGTCCCTCCCTGTGAATGAAGAATTTGTATTTTCTGCTAAGATGCAATGAAATGTGCAAATGGTTCACTGAAAGAAGAAATCAGGCAGAGCACAATTAAAACCTCCAAACAGCTTTCAAACAAGTGAATTCAGGCTTACTAGTTCATCTTAGAGCAGATTTTATGATAATAAAAATGAGGAGCACTTGCATAAAATTTAAAGCAATTGACATTGCTTAGGGGAGATTTGGTCTAGGATTAAAATGAACTAACCTGCAGTGAATTATTAAGCCTCTATTCTTAAAAAATTCGGTAACATGTCACATCCACTGACACTGTTTGCAAGAATATAGGATCTTCCTACAACGTGGTGGTAGGAGCAGATTTTCCAACAGAGTCGGGAAAGGGGAGGCACAGATTCTATCCCCTCCCAACTCAAAAGAAAACTGGCCCCTTTCTTTTCCGTGAAGGTTTCAGGGTAGAAACTAGAGGTCAGGTAGTTCATACGGAGATACTATTTATATTAAAATGATTCTTGACTTGTGTGCAGGGAAAAAAGAGGCATAGATTTGAAAGTGGGGCACATTGAGGAGCTCCAAACAGCGGAGGCTGCACTCCCGAGCTCTGACCACAGAATTCAGGATCCACGTGTCTCCTGACTCGGACCAACCCTGGTGACCCGGTGCAGGCAGTGCCTAGGCACCCAGGCTGTGCCACTGACGCCAGGGGAAAACAGCTCTTTGGGGAAGGGGAAAGGGAGGGGTCCCAGGGCAGCAGTAAGCCTGAAGGGAGAGGAATCACAGGAGGGGGAAAAAAAAAAAAAAAAAACCCACAGAGTTGATTAACACTCGCAGCTAGAGAGGCCCAGGAGGTCCCGCGCAGCCCTGCGGGAGCCCTCTCCACCTCGGCACCGAAGGCGGGTGGTCCCTCCAGGCTGTGGCTTACAGTTCTCTAAAGACCCACCTTCCCCCTGCCCTTCCTCTCTCTGTCGCCCCCTCCCCATATCACACCATTTACAAAAGGGCTTTTATCCACAAACTTGTGTGTGTGTGTGTGTGTGTGTATACTAGTGCTTGCAGTCAAGAGTATACTTTCTCAGAAGGAGAAAAAGGAAAAAATCCTGTGTGGAACTTCTTGCCCATTAAAGTTTGTTTGGAAATCTTTTCAGTCTGGTGTCATCTCAACTTCTAGCAAATCGCTAGTGCGTTCTGTATGCTCCCCGAGAACACACACTGAAGCCCCTCCTTTTAGCCTGGCCGGGTGCACACTCTGTCAGCAGCACTGGCATCTCATCCCATCATGAAGCAACCCTCTGCTGCGTCCACAGCCAATGCAAACATTTTCAAGGATCCCTACACACTCCCCTTTCAGGCATTCCAGACCAGCACCCCACCCCCACCTCCACACAATCCCACCCACGGTTCAGTCATTCTTTCCAAAAGGTTTCCAGAAGTTTTATATCCTGATCAGCATTCTTTAATGCTACAGTCTTTTAGGAAGGCCGGTAGGAATCTCGAAAATGGACAGATTCGGTGCTGCACCAAGCTACTTAGGAAGGGTACATTTTGTCCTTCCGTCCGTGCAGGGGACGTGCAGTACTTTCCAGCACACAATTCACAACATAGTTACAGCCAGAACTTACTCCTCCCCTTAGATATTATGATTCAACTTGAAACCGGCAGCATCGTAACCCTTTCGATGGGACTCTGCAGGCCAGAGGGCGTAGAGGAGCGCCTTGCCAGCCAAGTCGGGCAGCCGGGGACCCACGGAGCAGAGACCCTGAGGGCATGGCTCCGACACAGAGTGAGGTCCGTTTCCTCCCTGTTGCTTCGCCAGTCACTAAAGATGAGTGAGGCGGAAACACACTGCGGTGGGGAGCATGGGGGGAGGGAAGCCAGAAGCTCTCGCAACAACCAGGGTGTCAACTGAATGTCTGCGAAACGTGAAGGCAAAGGCAGCCATGCCCCCACCCCGACCCTGGCCCAGCTGCCCCGGCCACGCGCCACGCGGCTGTCGTTACACTCAAGGGACAGACAACAGTCACACTGCACTGACAACACGCAGACTGCACAGGCGAGGTGCACACCCACACACCCAACGACAGGCTCCGCCACTGCAAGGCGACTGCCAACCTGGAGGGCACAGGAAAAGCCAGCCGGGTCCCAGCCTCCTTCCTCCAAAGCACGTTTACCTACACGTCGCGGTTTGCGTCCAGGCTGCTCCCGCTCCACCCTAAAAATTATGTCAACGCAGGAACTGTGGGTGCGCGCGGGTGGGCCGCCTGGGAGCCTCCCCTTCTGGGTCCCGTCGGTTTTATTTCGGGAACGGGAGGGGGAGGAGGGAGGGCTGGAGGAGGGGAGGGGAATCCCAAATTAAAATAACCCTCAGTTATGAGGACGTTCGGTGGCATCGGATATTCACACCAGCAACAGTCACATCACATTCGCCTTCCCCAGATGGCGGCGGGTTCAACTTCCCGGGATCTCGCAAAGTCAGGCTGTGCGCCCGAGCGCGCGCCGGAGAGTGGGCACGCGGGCGAGCGGGCTGGGGACGGCGGGAACGGCGCGGCGCGAGCCAAGGGCGAGGACGGGGGCGCGGGGCGGGAAAGGGGGCGCGCCGGGCTCACCGGTTCCGGACGAGGAGGTCTCCGTCCCCGGGGAGCGGCACCGGGCAGTCCCGGCGCAGCGTGACGGCCTCGCGGAAGTTGGGGCTCAGCTGGGTCACCACCAGCTTCTGCATGGCGTGGGGAATGGCGGAGCCCTGGAAGTCCAGGAAGTGGCGGGCGTACGACATGTCCACGATGGTTCGGGCCCCGGTGGGCACCAGCCGCAGCATTGCCCGCGCCTCCGCCCGCGCTCTGCGCCGCCGCTGGCCGGGGTCGGGCCCCGCCCGGGCCTCTCGGCTCGGCTGTGCTCGGCGCGGGCGGGCGGGTCCGCCCCTCCTCCGGCCGGCGCCCTCCCCCGGCTCCCCCTTTCCCGCGACGCCCGCTCGCGCTCCCCCCGCCTCCCAGGCGCCGGCGCAGCCCCCGCGAACCCGGGCGCGCCGCCCCGGGTGTCCCGGCCTGGGGACCGCTGCCGCCCCGGCCGCTGCTCCTTTAATCTTTTTGTTTTGGTTTGAATCTGCTCGGCGCAGACTGGCCAAGGATCCTCTCCGCCCTCCCCCTTCCTCCTGGCGCGGGAGAGGCACCGGATATCCCCACCCTCCCCGGGCTCGAAAAGCCGGATTTGACTCCTCTCCGGCGGGGGGGGGGGTGGCCGGCGGGCGGCGGGGGCTCTCGTCCGCCGCCCCGAGCCGGCGGCAGCCCCGGGCGTCCCCGGAGCGGTGCGGCGGCCGGCGCTGGCGCCTCCCCTTCCCGTGCGAAGCGTTCACTTCCTTGCAAGGTGGTACGAATCAACCCCGAGCGCGGCCCGGGCGGCGGGGCACGGCCGGGGGCCGGGGGCCGGGCGGGGAGCCGTTGCCGCAGCCGCGGCACGCGCACCCGCACCCACCGCGGGGCGGGGAGAAGCCCAGAGCCTCCCGCGCCCCAGGCGGGTGGCTTCCTGTCCCTGGGACGCCTGGCCCGCGCCTTCTGTCCTCGGTCTGTCCCATGCAAGTTGCATGAACTAAGCCATTTTATTTATTTTGGCCTAGATTTCATGTTTTTCCATGAACGTTTTAAGTAGCTCTGTAAGACTGTTACAGGTTCCCCATTGGGAGAGAAACACATATTGAAAACCAGAAGGCCAAATTCCCAGAGCACAGACACATTTTAAAGTTCTAGCTGGGGATGCCGAGGGACTTAACTGAATTGGAGACGTTGCACTGATGTACGAGGACCTCCTCTTCGAACCCAGCTAGAAAGATCCGTCGTTCCATCGTGTCCGTTTTCTCCTTACTGGCGTGCATTGACCAAATATCAATTCACTTTTCATAGAGGTGCCAAATTAAATATTTCCACACCTTTCTGTGATGAACCAAGTCCATCTTTAGATTTTTAAATTGTAAATTTTAATTTTAAAAATCTCTTGTTTTTCATTTATCCACGAATTATAAAATATAAAAGCCACATTGGGCTCCTCCCGGGCCAAATCTAACCCCCAACCTGGGATTGCAAAAGCGACACAGGTATTTTTTTCCCTTCCAAATGTAGGACATGCTTCATCCAAGGGTAGTTTGGATGCACGTGGTTGCGTGTGTATGAATGTGCAAGTGTGTGTGTGTGTGTGTGTGTGTGTGTGTGTGTTGGGGGGGGCTAACAGGTTTAAAAATCTGCAGAACTAATGTCTACTTAACTTAGAACACATGGATTTTACCCGGTATCAGCCACCGGATTACAATAACAACACTCTGAATGTCTTCCTCCAATGTACAATCTCTTTATGTTATGTTGTATTAAGATTTCTTTTTTTGTCATATTGTTTAGCTCCAAAAAAAAAAAAAAAAAAGAAAACAAAGCAATTAAAAAGATTGACAGGTATGGTTTGTGAGAGACCTATTTGTAATTGTCAGGGTGACGTTGGCGAGAGGAGGAGGAGTAAAAACTGAAGCAGGAAAAGCAGCTCGATGTGTCTGTCTATCAGTTGAGACTGTCTGAAAGCTCTGCGATCCGAATGTGTGTTATATTTCACTGAAAAGAGAAGAGAGCGAGAGTGCATCTCCCTCTCTCCCAGGAGTTTGGGGGGGGGGACAGTCCACGCTCATCGCGCCCACCCAGTGAATGTCTGCGCTTCACCCCCTTTGCACACACTCTCCGGGTTGTTGTTGCCTTTTTTTTTTTCTTGGAGGGGGGGTGCTTTTTGTGTATTTTTCAAATTTTTTTCTGTTGGAAGATCAAGACCGGCCAAAAATCCATGATCAAAATGTGTTTGCATTAGATTTCGCATTGGAAGAAGCGGCGATCCCGGCGGCTAAGCCCCCCGGGGGGAAGCGCGGGGCACCAAGTGGCGCTCCGGCGGGGTGACACTGTTTGATCTGTGACTGTTTGGAAGGTGGAGCAGCGCCTGACATCTCCCCCCGGCGCATGTATGTACGGGGGCTTCACTCCTCTGTCTTGTTTGCTTTCTTCCTCTTAGACTAAGTGCGGGGAGGAAAAGGACAGCCTGGATCGGCCTCGCTGGCGCACAATGAGAAAGCTGCGACCCGCGCACTAAAAACACTCGCCGCGACCCCCAAGCAGCGAGGAGAGGGGGAGAGAAAGTTGCGCTCGGCGACTCTCGGCTCGCGGAAGAAGGCGCAGGGGAGCGCCCGGAGCGGCGCGCCCGAGGAGCGCCCGCCCAGCAGCAGCGCGGCGGCGGGG